CATTCATCCTGTGTTGTCCGCAAGCATTTTCCGCCCTGTTGTGGGTCCATTTCCTTGAAAAATGAAACTTAACCAGGCACTTTGAAGAAGCTCTGCTCTGACGCTGGTAGTCTATGTAGATAATAATGTGGGTTTACACACCCCAGAACCGAACATTTTGACTCCTGAACTTGCATATTCGGCATGACGCTATAAACTACAAAATCACACAGCGAGGAAAAAAATGGCGGACTATGAAATCCAGTTGGCCGGAAATACATTACCATAAATGGTAGTTCCGCAGAAAAAAGTGTGACGAAATAAACAATGAAACGAAATAAGCAACAGCAGATTTTGAACAAACTGAAAAATTTGACCCATAAAAAAATATAAAAATATCTTTGCAGTAACTGGACAGAATAAATAAAAGTTTTCTACACTCCTAGACACTATAATTGCACAAAAATGTTTATAAATGCAAAAAAAGTGCGTTTAGCATGACATGTCTCCTTTAAGTATTTAGCGTGATTTGTTAGTTATAATTAGCAGGTTAAACTTGATCTGCTCTACCTGCTGATTAAACTTGCAAATGGCTGAACCTGCAGAGATGTCCCCATGATGATGAGAAGGTCACAACGAGGAAAATCCTGTCAGGAAAACAAAATTAGTATTATATTTGGTTTTTGTTTTCACAAAGTAGTTACTTTATACTTTATTTAAACTACCACAGTGAGTTCACCTTCTTCACTGTAGAGAAGACACGGGCAGGCAGACTCTCTCCAAAAAAGACAATATCTGAGCCAGGAGACAAAAACAAACAGAACCATGATGGACGATGTGGCCTTCCTGACTTTAAAGTGCCTGTGACAAGCATATCCTTCAAAATGTCAAAGAAAACGTTTGCATTTAAGAAACACGACACAATACACAGGATTTTACCCATTTTCCACATAACTGGCAACCTTTCTTTTGAACTTGACTCAACCAAAGTGAAACAGGAAGTGACATCAAAGAGGAACTCTTTAAAAAATGAACTCTCTGGTCTTTGTTTATTGAAACATTAATATTTGAAGTTTTACTCTTCTTCATTTCTCTTTGATAATGTCTCAGAAAAATCAGATTCTCTACAGTCTGTGGTTTTAGTCATTGTAGCAAAGCTCTGTTTACATGCTGACATTCCACTTTGACATCACTTCCTGTTACTTCACATGCAAACATCTCAACACCTGTTCATCTCATGGGCATGAATTTGTTTTTGAAATATATTATCAGTCTTATCTTTCAAAAAACGCACTCATAAGTATTTGAAAAGTCTGATGTCACGGGCACTTTAAGGTTACAAACACATGTAATGATGCTGACCTGGTTTGACCAAACTGCTGCACTTGTCACATTTGGGAATTTCATCTGAGAAGATTTTTTCTGCAGAGCAGAAAGACAAAATTCAAACAGTTTAAAATCAGAATTGAATATTGTTCCCCATCAAAAACTAAAAGCACCTTTCATCCAGCCCAGGGTGTACTCTGAGCGGCAGAAGGAACTGACGCAGTGTGAAGTGTGGAACGTTCCGTGAGCCTCGATCAGGTCGTTCCCGTCCAGCCCGGCTGCTCGCTCCAGAGTGTCAATGTTCTGCATGAACACACACACACACACACACACACACACACACACACACACACACAC